TCGAGTCATTAAAATATAAATTCAATTTAATAACTTTAAACTTGACTAGATTGAGAGAATTTTTCCATAAATTCAAACTCACCCAATTTGATTATGACTGAGTGATTAGGTTTATAACTTGTTTTTTCCTTAAAAAATTCCACGAAATTCAGAAAAAGAAAAAAGACATATATGATACAGGGATCAAGATTTGACTCAAATTTTAAAAAATAAAATCAAAATATGATACTAAATCAATGTGTTGGATTGATACAAGTTGAATTAAAATCATTTTGGCTATCTCAATTTAATATATTTTATTTATTTATAATCAAGATCATTTATTTTTTAATTATGGTGCTTTATCTTAACCGAAAGATAAAAAAAGACAATAAAATACTTAAAAGATAAAGTATGAAGTAAAAAGTTATTTAATACCTTCAAAATATTAAAAAAATACTTAATATTTAATTCGTGAGTCACATTTTCAGACTTAATAAAATATGAACATGAACATGATATTATATATATTATTTAAGGGGTATTTGATAAGAGGACTTTTCTCAAATGTCTGGAAAAGTAAGAGTGGGTTTCCAAAAATCTCAAGTTTGGTAGCATCGTAGCACATTGGAGAATTTTTTTTCAGAATTTCTTTTTGTGAGTAAATTGTGATTGAAAATATCGTCCAAGAATATCATCCCTTCTGAAAATCTCACACGTTGAAAAAATATTCACTATTTTTTTTTTTACAAAAACAGCCTTAGCTTTGCTTTGTGAAAATAGATCTGGCCCCGCTCGAACAGTGTCTCACTTAATATTCACTAAAATGTAACACCCCGTGTTAACCCGGTTTATTAACATGTCATCGTATTAAGCCACACTTAATTAAAATTTGCGGAATATCTTTTTCTATTCAATTATGACGTTATTATCGTTACTAAGGATAATTACTTAATTCATTTCTAAAACATTGTCTATATGTAAATTGCAAATAGACAACTAACTGAAATATTTCATAAATAAACAAGTGAGTATCTAAGTCACGTATCTACAACACCTAGTCCGGACATAATCCTGATACAATTATGCAACTTGAAACATCTAAAAACATAAGGTCAAGTCAATGTGGCATGGACAACTCTCACGCTCACCAAATAAGGCAACAACGCCCAACAACAGTCTCAATCAAATAACATAACAGCAAAGATAAAGCAAAGTCAGCATCCAGCAAATCATCATAATAACATGCAATCAGCTAAGCTCCGGCCTCTTGGCGCTAGAGGTCTCAACCCCCGCATTACCTGAACCTGAAATATGTGCCCCAAACGTGAGGTGAGATCTCTAAACAGAAATCTCAGTAAGACAAGGGGTCCTCAAGGATCTTCCACCCCAAGCTCACTTACATGTGCAATATAAGTTCCAAAAGCAGTAATTCAATATCAGTTCTAAATTCAGTGCAATACAGCAGATAATCATGTCATGTGTGTTATAACTATTCTACTGATGAGAGAAGTGCAGGAATACGTCTATTACCCACATAGTACCAGCCCATGCTGTACCCGCCCCCAGGACCACCCCATGGCTTCCTGGCTAGGCGAAACACCACATACATATAATAAGCATTTTGCACTTAACAGCTCCATAGCATTTCAATAAAACAGTACATGAAAACACATCATGCATATAACCAGCCCCCCATGGGACATGGTGGAACATACAATGGCTAAACCGAGGACACGAAAACTTACCTTGCAAGCTAGCTATCCAAGCCAAGAGTCCACACAAGTTCAAAGTCCAAACACAGCAGAATCACAATCTGTTTTGGACTAATCATCATATCAATAATCATCCTTAACAATTATACGACATAAACACAACGCCTTTCCTTACTTTTCATGTCTTAAGGCTTCTCACAAAGCCACAAGCCCTTAATCACTTAGATTCTGACTTAACAAGTCATTGCAGAAGTCCAACTTCATCAATCTAGGGTCCACAAACCCATAACTTAGTTCTGTATGAACAATACCGTTACTGTTCTCGAAAACCCAGAATATCCAGATATTTGTCGGGGCATATCCGGATATCCATATTCGGATATCACAGAACCCCATATCTGAATATCAATATCCGGATATCAATATCCGGATACCATATCCGGATATTTCGCGACAGAATGCAGTTTCTGCATTTCACGAGATATCACTCCAAAGGTTCGGTTTTTACTTCATTAAAACGTCCAAGCATGCATTTTTAATCCTTTTTAAGTTCATATACAAGTTGGTTACTTGTTTAACTCATTAACATGTCAAGACTCAACCTTTGAACCAAGAAAACTCATGATCAAGTTAGGTGAACTTACCCAAGGCTCAAAACAGCAGACCAAAGGTGCTCTTGAAGCTCACAAGTCAGCTCCAAGGTACTGACTTTAGGGGTGCACAAAAATGACACCCAAGCAAGAACCTTTCTCTTCAAAGATCACACCTTGAAGCTCCCACATCCAAGGAAAAGGCTCTCAACACTCACACAAAGAAACTCAGCCCTCAAACTCTTCCCAAGAGTGGCACAAACTCATTACAAGGTCCTCTCACTCACACAAGGTAGCTCATACCAAGATATGTTGATCAAGAGAAAGAACAATGATCAAAGGTGGTGTCTTTGGTGAGAAAATGAAGAATGAAGAGAGTGACAAGGTGGCTGGTCACAAGGCTTCATAAATTCCAACGATGGAGGCACAAAATAGACCTAGGATCATGTGCCACTAGGTATATATAGTCACTTAAGTCTTAATCGCACTGTATTAGCACTAAATGCTACGCTTAGCATTTTAATCCCAAACTTAGAATTCTGAACCTACTTAATTTTACAAGATTTATCATATTTTTATTATATTTTTCGCAGCACCTTTCTGGTACGCACTTTTACATAGCCAGTATCAGTTCTGGCACCAGTTCTCATTATTTTAACTTGAAACTTGTTTTACAAGTCCTATATAATATTCTAGTGGCATATACACACTTTTCATAATTTTCCGGGATACTTCATCAGTACGCATTTATACCGAGTAGCAGAACCGGTATCTGCACTTTTCGTTAGAAAAACAACTTTCAGCATTATTAATCACCTACCATAATTATTTAAGCCTTCTCATAATTATTAGGGTCAATTATAAAATTATTTTCTAATTTCTCATAATTAATTAATTAACTTCCTTAATTAGCGGTACGAGTTCTTAGATTCACCTCACTTCCTTAATACGATAGCATGTTATCAAACTCTCAAAGCATCCTTTAACTCGCCTTCAATACGTCGCTGTAGCTGCACGCGTCGCCCACCGAGTCACGAGGATCCGCCACGACGTAGTAAGTGGTGTGTGCATATTGTCATTCGAAGAGGGAGGATGAAGAAGAAGAAAATGGAGGTTGAGAAGTATAAGAGGAGTAGTGAGAGGTGACTGTTGAAGAGAGTGTGAAGATAATGCTTAATATTAACATAATAATTGACATTTCCTAGTGAGGAAGAAGAAGAACAACGAAAGAAAGAAAATAGTTTTATTATTTATTACGAAAAGAAAACGATGGATTCTGTTACTATATGGTTATGTGCAATCAACGAGTGATTATATTCATGTCTGATCTGATCACTAATTTGGAATGGGACCACTTTTCTTTTTGTAACTAGTTTGAATTTTAATTTTGAAAACACAAGCTTGTTTGAAGAAAACCCAACGAACACAAATGGTGTTTGAAGAAAAGAGTGAAGGTGGAGTTATTTTTATAAAATTACCTCATATTTCAAGTAATATTTAACAATCAATCAAATATAAACTTAGTAAATTTGAGCAAATTATCTGGATAATATTTTTTCTATTAAATAATTTTTTGATAGTATTTCTGAAAAATTCACTTTTTCACTATATTCATAAAAAACATAATTTTTAAACAAAAAAAAATTATCCTCTAACAAATATCCGCCAGGGATATTCTATCAAATACTCGAGCTTTGACGCTGAAGTATTTAATAATTGTCAAATTTTTTTTAAAAAAAAAAGGTTCAGTGATCCTAGAAAAGCACTGTAGCGGTGAAAAAATCAACTGTTTGAAAGCATATTTGTATCAGTTGTTTAATGTTCAATATTTCTCTGTTAATTGAAAATAAAGTTATTTTCTGTTACTCTTAAAATAACAATATTATTTTACGGTTAAAAAAATTATTATAATAAAAATTAATATAATCTCAGAATAAATTAAACTTACAAAAATATATTTTTTCCAAACTCAAAATCGTATCATTTTAGGTCAGTTATCTTCATTGACAAATCCATTATTTACTAATTAATGATAGGGAGGCTAACGATAAATCGATAATCTAGTGTTTGTGTACAAAATTGTTTTTCAGTCTTGGAAATGATAACATTGTGGGAAATGGATCCTCTAATGTGGAAAAAAACATGACATGGTCATGTGAGAGGATCACAACCATACAAAGGTAAATCAAAAGTTATGATTTTGTAACTACCTATTTTAATATATTTTCTCTCTCCTCCTTTATTACCATTGATCTACCTTTGTATGGTTATGATCTCCCACATGACATGGTCATGTGATTTTTCACATTAGAGGATCCAGATCCAACATTGTGGGTACAATTTAAATCCCCTATATTATTCCGTATTTGAGTCATGGAAAGGGTAGCTAGATTCGTGCCCAGGCACGCACATTCCCACCAAACTATATTTATCATAGCTGAAAGTTGAAATTAAAGCATAAGACTTAATAAAAAAAATATAATAAGTACTTCATCAAGAAGAGAGCAATTGATGCATTAAAAAATTTCCTTTTATTTATTTATTTAAATGGCCCAATTTTCATGTTGAGACTATTGACTTTTTCTATATGTTTCTCTTTGTATCGGGCGTTTGCGCGTGTCCATCTATCAAACGACAGCTCGTAGTTGTCAACTACCTCCTTCCTACCTATCTACCCCCCACGCTCTTTGAATGCTAGCCGCCCTTCTTCTTTTTTTTTTTTTTATATAAATTTAACTGAAATAACCATTCACATTTTGTCTTTCTTTCTTTCTTTCTCTACGTCTAACCATTACAACACACAACATAACCAGGAACACACAATCAAAAGACTCTCAACAATTTTCATATCTCGAAACACACAACATAACCAGGAACATGGCACCTTCATTCGACATAAGTACTCACACGGTATGTGTCATGGACGCTTCGGGCCAATTGGGCTTTAACTTGGTACAGAGACTCCTCCAAAGGGGCTACACCGTCCACGCCTCCGTTCAAAAATATGGTAAAATTACTAACTAAGATTATTTGTTGCCTCTTTCTGCTATACTCTTTGTTCCTTTCCTTGAAATTTTTTGGCTTTCTCAGGTGAAGAAGATTTATTCAATGGGATTTCTGCTGAGACCGATAAGCTTAAGGTTTTTCGATCAGACCCATTTGATTACCATAGCATTATTGATGCACTCAGAGGCTGCTCTGGCTTGTTTTACACATTTGAGCCTCCCCTTGACCAACCCAATTATGATGTAAGCACCCTTTCTTCTTTTCTTTCTTGCTTTCTATTTCTCATACTAGGTTTTGGAATTTCAGGGAAGTCATTTTTATATTATTATCTTAAACATGGTTCACCTATGATAAAAAATTTATAAAATCAACATTAAAAAAATAATTTAAACAAAGCATATGGAACCTGATTTGAAAATATTCTTCTTCTTGGACACCTGCCTGGCAATAAAAATAAAATAAAATAAAAATTGAAGATTTGATTTGTGAGCTTTTTGTTGGGGATGGTTGTTGGGTGAAATATAGCTGAGTTTGTTTGCTTTTAGTCTTTAAAGTAATTGAATTTATTGGTATATGGGGGTAGGCACAATTTGCCTGAGTTTCTCACTTACTTTTACCTTGATCACTCCAATTTCCCAACTTCTGTGTGGGCTCAACACCCTTCACATCTGCGATGATCTTGACAACGAAGCAAATGATACAGTTGTATTATGTCATAGTCATTTGAGCTGGTTAATTTCCCACCCATGTGCTTATCTGCTTATTTCAGATTTTAGTAATTAGTGTACGATCATATCAATATTTTGTCACTATAATATTAGCAATCATTATGAAAATTTTGAGGGATTTATACGCAATGGGGAACACATGCAACAATTCAAACTTTACTACAACAATATGATAGTATAAATATAATTTTATGTCACTTATGGCAGCTTTATTATTAATTTAGTAAATGGTAATCAAAATATGCAAAATATTTATGCAGAGATTTTTTTTTTATCTGATTATTTTCTAAAGAATATATTATTTACCAATCAGAATCTTTTCTGTATGTAGTTATATAAGTAGAAGGTACGTATATATTTTTTGTAGGATTTTCGTTTTCTCTGTTCTAAACTTGAATTTTCAGTTCCAAGTTGTTTGTTCCATGTATTTAAGGAATATATTTTTCTTATGTTGTAAGAAAAAAATTATTTTATGGTGTAAAAATAAAAGTATAAATGGGACATACATGTAAGAGAACAGAGAAAAAAAGTAATAGAATCCAATCTCTTTTTGCGTGTGTAAGAGAATTATTTATCTCATCTAAAATGAGATAAAGATAACCTTATATTTAATTCATACCAAGCATTCTTGAACCTTGAACAGACTTTCCGACCAAAAGCAAAAGTTTGGTGGAAAAGTTATAGTACGGTTTATTTTTCACCAAAGATACATTCGAAGTAATTTTCAGTACTGAAAACAAGTGGTCGAAAATTTGTGTTTAAAACTGATCACTTGTCTTTGTACCATACAGGAATACATGGATGACGTGGAGGTGAGAGCTGCACACAACGTGCTCGAAGCTTGTGCTCAGACAGAAACATTAGATAAAGTGGTTTTCACATCCTCAGCAACCGCAGTGGTTTGGAGGGAGGATCGCAAGACCATGGAATTGGGTTTAGATGAGAGACATTGGAGTGATGTTAATTTATGTCGTAAATTCAAGGTATATAACACATACAATATACACCATTATCTATCAAATTTTCATTTTTTACATCTGGGGTTTTATCAAAAATTGATAAATAATAAATTAAACTACATAGATGGTTAGTAATTGACTACTTTGGAATCAAACAAAAGTGCAATTATGATGGCACACAAAAAGTCCAGAGTGAATAATTGTTGCACTGTATAAACAGTTATGGCATGGGATGTCAAAAGCAATGGCAGAAAAGACAGCGTGGGCCTTGGCAATGGACAGAGGAGTGAATATGATTTCAATCAACGCAGGCTTGTTGATGGGTCATGATCTCTCCATCCAGAACCCTTACTTGAGAGGAGCTGCTGAGATGTACGAGGACGGGGTGTTCGTGACCGTTGATTTGGGTTTCTTGGTGGATGCCCACATCTGTGTCTACGAGGATGTCTCATCCTACGGTCGTTATTTGTGCTTCAATCACATTATCAATACCCACGACGACGCCGTTCAGCTCGCCCGCAAGTTGACGCCTGCTGCTTCTTCTTCCTTGCCTCAAAGGTCAGCGGAAGGGTGTTTTTGGTCATTTGACTTTTGTTTTTTCTTTTAATTATATAGTCTTGACTTTTGAAATGTTCAACTGAAATTCTTTCTATCCTCTGCAGCGGTGACCATGGTAAAAGTTTTATCGAACAGAGAATAAGCAACAAGAAGTTGAACAAATTGATGGTGGACTTTGAGGCTTGACTTAAATGGTGATATTTTTGGACGGTGATTAGAGCAATCACCTTAATTGTTCTTTCGCCGGAAAGTATTTGTGCGTTCAATGAAAGAAAAATTTGTATGTATGCCCCTATATTATATATAACAAATTAATGTATTTATTTTAAATGAAATAATCATTTCTTTATTTATTTCCAAATTAGACAATACGAAATAACTATCCATCTTTTAAATTTTTATTTTTATTTTTTTTTCATAAATGGAATAAAGTTTAAGTAGCTAAACCAAAAAAAAAAGTGCAGGTAGCTTTACTAGTTTGTATTCGCGACTAAAAGAATTAGCCCCCCCTTTTCCCCATCTTTTGTCAACGAAAAGAATATGATGAATGGTGGTGGTGCACACAGGATGCTTATTTTGTTATTATTTTTTTGCAAAATAAATCAATAACAACATTTATTTTTATTTACGGGTAACATATACAAAAATAATTGATGGCATTGCATCCGGAAACTCTTGATAGTGCAAATGTGCATGAGCATGTGTGAAGGACCCAAAATGGATAGACTGAAAGTAACTGCTAACTGGAGACTATGGAGTGGACCAACAAAAGTAGCTTGGCTGGATTATAAATTCAGGTCGGTGGGCAGAGGTAGGGGGAGGAGTGGCGATAGCGAAACGAGTTTAATAGTTTAAAGATACGAATCAATTATGAAAGCTAAGCCTGTGGTTACATTATTGCATAAATGTAATGTAATAAAGAGGCAATAAAAACTAGCAAGTCTTCACCTTTATTGAATGACATGCCTTAAGACTTGCAACTATTTTTCGGTTTTGAGCATGATAAAGAAATGGCTTTATTAAAGGACCCATTGATTAAGAAAAATAGCGGTATAGTACTTCTACACACTGAGTTGTGCAAGTGCCATTTGTCCTCTCATTGAATTATGGTCGGCCTCAACCGCTCTCGATGTTGATAGGCTGCCCATACCATTTATTCTATTAGAATTTGATGCCAACTTCAACCATTCAAAATTAATTTAACAGCCAACAAAGGTGGGCACAGTTGGCAAAGGGTTTGGTCCATATCCCTCAAGGGCGTGGGTTCAAACCCCGCTGGCCGATGTGAGGACTTTGTTGGTGGGTGATATGTAATCCCTCCCAGAAATCCTCAAAGAAGTTGGGGGGTCTTCCCTGACCCTAATGGGATACCGGTGTCTACCCCACTTAAACTTTTATTTACAAAAATAAAATAAAATTAATTTAACAAGTATTTTCTTGAAACAGTGGACGTTTCTTTTTAACCTGATTTGTTCAATGTTGAATAATATGCTTTCTCTTCTTTAAAATTAATGTTAGAATATAAGAAAAAAGCTCAATTGAACTATGGCTGTGATGGCTCTTCATGATTGAATAGGTCTAACGTTGCTGCTTTCGGTCATTCCTTTAGTGTACAAATCAATTAGTAGTTATACTTATCATCAATCGGCCTATATGATGCATATTCCTTGACGATAATATTGTGGATTGTAATTTCCCCCCAGCACATCTTGTTAAATCCTAATACTTCTGATTTGAATCATTATTCTTTACTTGGTTATGGAGAATTAACAGAAAACATGTAAGATTGTGATCTTGATTTTGTGGGGGGAACGTACAGAATACAAATGAATGAGCTTAATTTTCTTTTTCAGTCGTGTTTTGAAAAGAAATCAGACTTGACACTTCACTTATCTTTAAAGAAAGCCCACGTTTCGAATGATTCTCTAACTATTTTATCTTTCGGTTCTTCCCCCCTTTAACCTATCAACAATGCTAGTCTATCATCAAGTGCTTTGAATGATTTGTGCATTTCCAATTTGATTTCATACAATTATATTTGGAATAGAATCATACCAAAATGACTAGATCAGGAAAACATAAAGAATGAGAATAAGAAACCAAGTACTTTTTGGAGCAATTTCTTTGGATGCGAAGAGTTTTCAAAAGTATCGTACCCATAAAATACGATATTCCACTCGAGAGTTGTTATATCGTACCGTAATATACTCAAAACGAATTGTTAAATATTGATTGATTATTAACTCAAGGAAAATAATACAAACATAAACATGTTTATTGTGGATATTAGAATGAGGGAAGCATGAATATTTTGATCGGAAGCTCAACCTAAAAAAATAGAATTGTTAAAATAGATTGAGGTAAAAAAGTATTTTATGTACAAAATAGTTGATGATCAAAATCTTTTTATTAGAAAAAAGTATTTTTTTTTTTTTTTAATTAAACTGATCCGAGCATGCTATGATTAGGATGCCTCTATCCTAAAATTGAAAGAAGAAGAAGGGTGTATTGTTATTATGCTCCTAATAGGAAGAATAATGTTAATCATACACACTTATATTATATTTCTATAGTTTTTATTGTCTGGTTAGTTGATTCTATCTTGTTGTGTACATACATTCTAATTCTATCACGCACTTCCAAATGTAAAAGATGTGAGAGATAAGGAAGTGCAACTAATATTTTACAAGAAAGAGACTAAAAGCTCTGAAAACTGATGAATCGCGATCCTTCTTGTGCTCACTTCAAATTTGTAACAATGAATCAATGGTTGTACTTGTTCGGAAACATTTAAACAATGGGGATTTTTTTATATATATATTCTTTAATAATGTTATAAAATTATTTTTAAAAAAAACAAATTAATTCAAACATGTAATTAATATGTTGAAACTTTACACGGCTCTTTGTTGGAATGACACTTGTCCGTAGATAGAACTCTGGGCCGTAGAAATAAAGCAATATGGACCGTAGACATTTAACGTATCTAAGCTGAATAATATGGAAAAGCAGGAAACTCGTCTGTCTTGGTACAAAAGCATACGCTCGTGTGCGTTTGAATATTGAAGAAAATTAGCCAAATCCGATGTCCATAGAAGACCGAGCAAAGAGCATGGTTACATTAGCCGAAAAGGCCTAGGCCCACAACATATAGTGAGATTGAATACAGAGGAAAGCGCCACCTTATAATTCCAATGCCACGATTAACTTTGACTGGTGCAGCTTCTTCTTGTTGTTTGATTTTTGATCCCACAAAATAATTAGTCAGGAAATTTTTGTGATTATGTGTTAAATTATATTTATTTTAAAAAAATTCATTAAATAAAAAATTATATAATCAAGTTTGAATATAAAATAATATTGTAAATAAAAACAGTTATAAACATATAATATAATATACTATAATATAAAAAATTTGAAAAAAAATTGTTATAAAAATTATGCTCAATACTATTTTATAGAATTGACTTGAATTTGAAATGCCACGTCAATTTGAAAAATGCCATCTCTTACAGGGTTTGATGGCTGTGATGTATTCCCTGTAAAAATTTTAACCCGGATAACCAAAAATCTCAATTCAATACATCCCAAAAACCTTAGCAAAATCTTGATCGATTGTTGTGCTAAAATCATGTGAATTATGTCATAAAAATCTGGACGGTTAATTATGTCATAAAAACCGTGTTTCATTTACTAACCTATCAAGCTTAATGGTATTCTTGGATGAGATTGTCCTTAACAAATTCAATTCTTGGAAATCTTATTTTTTCATAAATGTTTTTGAAATCCTAACCACAGTTCCCAATGTGAGTTTTATCTTTTATGAGATTCTAAAATGAGAAAATATTTTCTTATTTTAAAGGGGAAAAAATTTCTCATTTAAAAGGAGAAAATGTTTTCCCAAAATAATTTATCCATCTAATAAACGCCCTTAATCATAGTTATTAAAATCGGACCGACCCGGTCGCGTCGATCCGGAAATAGATAAATCGGTCATATAACCGGTCCGGTTGAAGCAACAGACCGACCATGCATCAGAACCGGTGTGACCTGGTCCGACTCGGCCGGTTTTCATGAAAACCGGTGACCCGATTGGTTAACCAATGACCTGGCTCGGTCCTAAAAAAAAATTCCAAATTTGTTTTTCAAAAAAAAAAAACATAATGGGCATATTTGAATATTTTTTTGCTTATTGACTTACATAAGTTATGTACCTACAACACTAATATTATTTTAAGTGTGCATTATGCAGAAAATTTTGATTTGATTTATAGTTAGAGATGTCATTTTTTGAATTTAAAGCCTTGTATCACGATCATTGTATTTTTATTTGATCCTTTATTGGATAATAGTATGTGATTTTTTTTTATATTAAAATATTTGAAATATTTATTATTTTTTTAGATATTTGAGTATATTATAATTTTTTAATATAAATTATAAAATTGCATATAATTATCAGGTCTTGCGGTTGAATCAGTGACTCACTGGTTGAATCAATGATTCACTGACGCAATACATCGACCGGGTCAATGACCGGGCCGGTTTTAATAACATTACCCTTAGTTGTCGACGAATTGTACTAAATTAATGTAATTTCTAATTATCTAAATTATGATTAATCTTGTATCTTCCGTATTCCATTTTCATAATTAATACGTGGTTGAGAACAAGTTTGAATATACATTAGACCCTCAACAATAAATATATATGTACCAAATTTTTCTTCCAAATAATTCTTATATGATTCTAAATTTGTCTCTTTTATGATTTTAAGCATGAAATAATGAACACTTTTCATTTTAAATCTCTCCAATATTTTATTATGCCTTTCCAATACACCATTTTATTGTGACATGCATGACATGGTGTATTGAAAACATATGTCATGCTTTTCATGGAATTTAAGATATTACCCATTTTCATCATAATTTCCATTTTTGTGTAGTTTGCCTCTCTATCTCTTTAGCAAACATACATAATCATAATGCGTACAATCATAACTTGAATAATCATTAATAAAAATGATAATTTTTTTTTTATTGAAAACATTTACATAAAAAATTCTACAAATATCGATATGTATCATTTTAAGAAATTGAGATTTTTTTCATGTTTGATTTATTTACATTTTATATAGCTTACACATATATTAAGAGGATTTCATTCCTTGCATAATTCATCATATAATATATCATGATCAATCATGTAGTTGTTTTTAAGCGGGCTAAATCTATGTTAACAAATTTTGAAAAAGAGAAAAATGTTTGGCATTTTAAATGATATAATTTTGTGTGTTTTTATAATATTTAAATGAAATTATGTTATTTTGGTATGTTTTTACATTTTATTTTCTCCATTATATTTTTTTCCTAAATTTATAAAAAGAGAAAATATAAAAATAAAAAACATCAAAATAATATAATTTTACTAAAAATAACACAAAATTATGTTATTTAAAATAACAAATACTTTTCCCTTTTAAAAAATATCTAACTTTTGAAAAATGTGTTGCATGATGCCCCTATATGTTCCCAATAGGGGTGGCAAAAACGAGCCAACCCGTCGGGTTAGCTCGTAACCCGTAAAAAATAAGTCGGGTTGGGTTGGCAAAATTGAACTGCCAACCCGAACCAACCAGACCCGAGCCAGCTCGAAAAAAAATGAGCCAGCTCGCGGGTTGAGTTTTTTTATTTATTTATAAAAAATACAAAATATAATATATAAAAATGGACAAAATCAACACATGCTGTCATTGTTTTTCTTCCTTTTCTAAACCTAAGTCCCTAATCTTCTCACATCCCTGCCATTTTTATATTATTAGGCTGTGTTGTCTCTGTTTGGTTCAAATATCTTACCCACTTGGTAGCAAGTGGTTCTGATTGTTTCTTGATGTTGGTGCAAATTTGTTGTGAAGAAAATTCGAAACTAAAATATTTTGCTTTTATTTCTCATTTTGTAACCCTTTGTTTAAGCTGATGGAAGCCACATAGCTGGGGGTGGTAAACGAGCCAGGGGCCTTTGGCTTGGCTCGTAAAGGCCTGAGCTCGTTTAATAAAAGCTCGTGTTGGAACCAGGCTTGGACTTGTATAAAAGCTCGTTTAATAAAAAGGCCTCAGGCTCTAATTCAGAAGCTCGGCCTTAGAGCCTCCCAGGCTAGCCTAGTATATAAATATTTATTTATACTTTTTATACTACTTGTAATAACTCTCTCTCATCAATTTATTTCACCCCATTTTATTGGTTTAACAGACTTTTTGAATGATTTTGTTCTATATTATGCTATTTGGATATATATTGAATTTATGTATATTTATGAAATTACTAGTGCTGTTCTATATTATCCTTCATCTTCCTTCACACAAACAAACCCACAAAAACTCATTCGTTCCATTGTGCACTGCTCGTTTGTGTCAATTTATTTTTTATTTTATTTTTATTTTTGTGGCACTTTTTTTATAATGGGCTAAGATAATATAACCTGTTATCTACCTTCCCTCACTTTAATTTTTTTTATTTATTGTAGACTTTGTAAATTATTGCTGCAAATTGGAAGCTAAGGTTTCTTTCTGGAAATTGATTTTTTGTGGAATTCTGTTCTCTTATTTTTATTCTTTAACATGCTAACAGGCTAAGACAGGCTTCACACAGACTTTTATTTTTGTAAATAAACCAGGCCACAGGCCAATATTATATTCGTAACAGGTAACAGGCTAAGGCCAGTCAGACACGTTTAAATACGGGCTTGGCCCGTTAAGATCAAAGCTCGGTTCGGCTCGACCCGTTAACACCCCTACACATAGCTAATGCATTTATACTACAAGTTCATTTAAATAGGCTGAAAAAGAGCCAACCCGTGAGCAATTTTCGAGCCAACCCGGGAGCCAATTTTCGAGCCAACTTGGGAGCTATTTTTTCAAGTCAACCCACTAGCCATATTTTTTAGGCAACCCTAACCCGACTCGGGTCGGGTTAGGTTGGGTTTTCTGCCTCGTTTTTTTTTCGAGTCAACCCTAACTCGACTCGTTTTTTTCGGGTTGCATGCGGGTTGGGCCGGATGGAGCCGGGTTGACCCGTTTTGCCAACCCTAGTTCCCAAGTCCCAACAGTCATATTCATAATTCCCTTAAACTAAATTATGGAAAAAAATTGTCCTTTTAAATAATTCAAATTGTGTTATTTTATTCTCATAAAGAGGTGAGACTTATACTTTTATTTTATTTTTGTCTGTTCTATCTTTCTCATTATCTATTTCTTTCTCTCACTTAAAATAACACAATTTTATATCTTATTTAAGTTTACATACACTGTCCCCCTAAATTATTAGTTACCAAATTGACAGGTTAATGTAAAGAGTGAAGTTACTTATCTTATGAAGCACCGACACTTCAAAAACTTTGACGTGTCGTGTCCGACACTTCCGGACACTCACCGACACTCTGACACTGCCCAACACTCTAATACTCGTTACAAAGACTCAAAAAAGATTTAAATATTATATTGCGTTGCATTTTGAGTTTCAACTATTATATTCGTTGGATTACGATTACCATTTTATTGAGTTTAATATAAATATGGGTAAAGTGTGTATCATTTTAAAGGACGTAAAGTTGAGTCATTTTAAGAGAGAGAAAGAGATAGATAAATGAGGAGAGAGTTGACAAAAAATAAATAAATGTGTAGGTCTCACCTCTTTGTGAAAGTGAAAGGATATAAGTTGTGTCATTTAAAAGGATAAACACTTTTCCCTATAAATATTTAGGATATTTTATGATTTTTTGCAAAATTAATGGATATTATAAATTTAGCTTTATTTTTTTGTTATATTATTGAATATTAAATATAATATATACAACATAAATTTAAAATATTATATAATATCAAAACATATTTTAACATGTTAAAATCTAATATATTTTAAAATTAATGTGGGATATTATGTCGTGTCCGTGTCCCCTCGAGATAGTAATTCCATCCACGGGAAAATCTATCCGCTGAATGAGAATCTCGGAACTCATTTTAAAATGGCAATAATTGTGGTACCCTTTGATGGAAGCAAATCAGATTTCAGATATCTTCTTCCTTAGAATTTAAAACCACACTCACTTGCCAATTCCGTTGTCTGATCCTCAAAAAACTGTAGCATACGTTATAGATCTTGCTCCTCATTCACACTTTCACTTACCTAGCATAAACTGCCAGCACTGTTAGAATTTTATCCTTGTTTCAAAGTTCGGTTTTGTTTATTTTATTCTTCACTCTCTTGTTCGTCTTATGATTTTGTCTCTCTGCGTTCGGATACTCCTATGTGGGTGTCTCTCTCTCTCTCTCTCTCTCTCTCTCTCCCTCTCTCTCTCAGCTAACTAAACCACCCACTTGTCAGATTTTCCAAAGATCTTCACTTTCGGTGCGAAGTCGTTAGGGTTTTCCAATATTCCATTCAACCCCATAATTTTGTGTGCATTCGGGGCGATGATGGATTATAGCCGAGACGGAAACGTTGTTCAGATAATCGCCGGCGAGAACTGGTCATCTTCCGGCGCCGGCGACCAATTGGTCTGGGCGACGGAAGACGATTACAGATTCTGGAACAACAACGGCGGCGACGGCGACGGCGCTCCCTCGAACTCAAACAACAGCTACGATCAGAGGCAATCGAAGAAATCGAGGACCTCGCAGGACGCAACGACGTTGTCTTCTTCGTCCAACAACAAGTCGAAGACTATTGGGAAGATGTTCTTCAAGACGAAGCTATGTTGCAAGTTCCGTGCGGGCACGTGCCCTTACGTCACCAACTGCAACTTCGCCCATAGCATCGACGAGCTGCGGCGGCCGCCACCCAATTGGCAGGAAATCGTGGCGGCGAACGAGGAGGAACAGCCACCGCCCATGGAGGAATTTCAGATTCCGTCTGTGGGGTTTTCCGCGGAGACGCAGAGGTCGTATAAGGGTCGACATTGCAAGAAGTTTTACACTGAGGAAGGGTGCCCCTATGGGGATAGTTGCACGTTTCTTCATGATGAACAATCCAAGAATCGAGAGAGCGTCGCTATAAGCTTAGGCCCTGGTGGGTATGGAGGAGGTGGTGGTGGTGGTGGTGCAGTTGGAGGTGGTAGTGGTGGTTCTGCTGTTGGGAGTGGACCCAATTCCAAGCCTTCGAATTGGAAGACGAGGATTTGCAATAAGTGGGAGATGACAGGGTATTGTCCATTCGGGAGCAAGTGTCATTTTGCTCATGGTGCTGCAGGTATGATAATGAAGGGGTTTGTTATTGTATCTTGTATAATAATAATGACTTTGTGTTGTGCCAGTCACTTCTCAGTAGATTTTTTTCTTACCATTTCTGATAGATTGCTTTGGTTTATGTAATGCATATCCATCGGGTTTCTTGTTTTCTATGTTCATTACTACAGCTATGATTTCCAGAATTTGTGTTTTTAAACATTAGGGCTCCACTAGAAATGTCTGTTTGTTGTGGGCTGTGTCTGATACTAAGAGGCATAATCATATGATATGTATGTGTTTCGTTAAGCGTGTTGTTTTCTCATTTTCTAATCGCAACTTGACCAGTTAAGCAATCCTTGCAATGTTTCATTAGATCATACCAATGAAACATAGATATGGCAGAGAAGCTTTTTAAGGTCTAATTAGGGGAAATTCTTATTTCATTCTTTTCTAAGTATTCCTAAATTGACATATTGTTTCTTTCTTTGAATTTAATGTTACTTTTCCTATGCCTTGTATTCTTCAATATCCTAGGTTCCCTTATCTGATTCGTTGCTTCTTAGAAAAACTCCAGCTTCAAGTCTGAGAAAGAGAGGAGAAAATGCTTAGCTTCCTAAGTAGAGGGCTTGGAATGAAAAGAGGGTATCTCACATCCTTATAGCTCTCAGATAGATATCATTAGAGGGAATTAATCAAAGCTTACACTGATGTGCTTTTTGGCAACTGCTTACACACAGTAGAAGCAACATTGAAGGAAATGAAACTTCGTTAGAACGTACACCTGCTGACAATATGTTCTTTAAGGTACTTGCAAATAAAGCCAGACCTATATAATAAGAAGCTGATTAAACCTTAAAGCATTAGGTTCTCTCCAACTAAAACAATTGCATCTTTCACGATGCATATCAACAACCTAGTTGAGGAACAAGAAATGATGACAATTGATAATCAACTCTTTTTAGCAACCTATTTTCGACCTTACTTAACAACAATATAAGGATACCGAACAACAAAATTTTGTATAAAAATTTATCATTAACTCCCAAAACTAAAGTAATAGAGGTTTTACATGATGCTGGAAAGGGGTCACTTTCACAAGGTACATCAATCCATGGCACAAAAGATTTTGATTTTGTTGCTTTCTTATTTTAAATCAACAAAAAATAACCTGACAGTAACAATCTCAATCAAAAGCCAAGATTATGCTAAAAGTAATTAGGAAAGTTTCATGGAAAATGAAAATCTGTGTGAGTAGTCGGAATATTTGCTCTTTTTTGCCCCTTTCTATTTTTCTATTATTCTAAGTCTTTCCCTAAGGCTGTGTCAAGCTCATTAAGGTATTTTTGTCACCCAGCATAGTTGTGTTATAGATACTGTCAGTTGAGGCCAGGGTTTCTGAATGTTACTTTTGTCTTTTATGCACAATTCAACCAATGAATGCAATACTTATTGTTACTTCTAAATGCTCATTTACATCATTTGAATGTCTGCATGATTAGTGATTGTAATGCTATTTCACACTTTCTATGTGTCGGTGTTTGTCCCCTTGTTTTACATTTGAGAACATTTTCTCTGTTGTTGGCCCATACCAATAATTTTTTGGCTTATTCTGCTTATCTGTCAAAATAGTACCTAGTAAGCCGTTTTCTTAAAAAATTTGGCACTGATATCATGACCACAGAATTGCACCGATATGGAGGTGGGCTAATGGAGGGAGAAAATAGAGACACTGCCGCTGCTGACACGATACAGGGAGGAATGCCTTCAAAAACTCCTGCTGATAATGTGGTTGCATCAGTTACGCCAGTTGCTCATTCTGATGTTTATCATATTGGAGTTCCTTTACAAAGGCCTTCCATTGTGATTCAGAGGCCAGGACAGAGAACTCATCAGAAGTGGAAAGGTCCAGATAAAATCAGTAGGATATATGGTGATTGGATTGATGACATCGAATAGAGTTGCAATCCCTGCGTTGGTAAGGGGGAAATAACTGATTAGGACTTTTTATTCTCCCATGTATTACCATGGAACTTAATATGTAATCTTTGGGTGGGATGTTGTAATGTAATGTATCTATGTTTCTTACTGGAAGAGAAAGAGAAGAGCCGATATTTTTTTTATTTTTTAATTTAAGGATTCCATTCTCCTTTTTTCTTTCCTCGAAAAAGCTAACTATCTGATGATCTTTAAGGTTGCACTTTGTTTGGTTTAGAGATAAATGCCTCTTCCTCTGCATTGTGCCATTCTTACATTCTAATACATGATAAACACATTCTAATGTACAATAATGATACATAAATAACAAAATTTTGTTCCTTTTAAGCTGCTGAATTCCTTGTTTTGCGACAGATTATGTTTTTGTTCCCCTTACTTCCAGTGAGTCTCATTGTAGTGCAGCAATTTCAAAGGCACTGCCTATCTTAAGAAGTGTTTATACAAGAAAAATCCCTGTGATACCTTAAAGATTTCCAAATTAATCTCACGCCAAAAGATTTTTCTAGGTCGGACTTGATCAAATTTTGATCACTTTAAATTAACAAAATGGGAACTTGGGAAGTTCCAAGAAGCATATCCTTTTCTCCGGCTCGGGTGCGTAACAAGAAACTAAAAGGGGTAATAAATAGTGGAGTCTATCCATTCCCACACGCTTTTTGACTTACACAAATCTTACAACAATCTTTTTTTAATCACATATTAATACACAATTTAAGAGCTTAATATACGCACAATATTCTACACTTCATTGATTCAGATTTATCCTAGATAGTGTTCGGACATAAGCCCTTGTTCTTCTCATAAGGACTCGCTCAATACCAATGCCTCCCCGCAACCAAGGGAACATCTAGTGCTGTCATCTAGTGCTCGCCGAACACATTGACCCATAAATCCTTGACTGTCCATATCTCATGCCTACGAATCCCACCTTCAAAAAACCGAAAAAAAGAAAGGAAAAAAAATAAAAATAAAAAAATCCTCACCGCTTTACCTCATCGTTTCCTTTGCTGCATTTGCCCCCACATAGTTTGTGCTTAAACTTCTCTCATCCACACGCAAAAAACCAATGATGAAAATTACAGAATAAGTCCTTCTCTGGCCACAAACCTAGTGAAGCAATCATCTTTTGCATTCATGTCTTCACCAGAACCAGATACTCCTGAAACCCCACCACCTATAACATACAGCACCCCACCAGCCCTTATAGCCTTTACACTCGCTGTGGTTGTTGTTTGCTTTATATGTTTCACCATTGTATATTTCTGCAGGTGTTGTTTTGTTGGCATTTTTCAAAATTGGGCATTTCAACGATCAACCTCAGGCACCCTTGTTAATATTTCTCCCAATGTATCTCCTTATAGAGGCCTCGATCCTTCTCTGCTACAAGCCTTCCCAACCTTTCTCTATGCCTCCGTTAAGGATCTTCGCAAAGAGAAGTATAGCCTCGAATGCGCCATTTGCTTGTTGGAGTTCGAAGAAGATAGCATGATGCGGTTGTTGACCGTTTGTTGCCATGTCTTCCATCAAGAATGCATTGATCTCTGGCTTAGTTCACACAAGACATGCCCTGTTTGTCGTACGGATCTTGATTCACCAACCAACGAAACGCGAAAATCTCATGAACTCGGCGAGGACTATCTTCATGCAGAGGAAGAGAGAAGGAATGATGTGTGTATTGATGTAAAAGAAGGGGAAGATGATCAAAGACACGATGATGAGCATGTTTCAATGAGTATGATGAACTTGCAACGGGCACACTCAACGGGGCATTCCATAGTTATGATTAGAGGAGGAGATAATAATGGAGGAAAAAGTGATGATAAATATACGTTGAGATTGCCGGAACATGTAGCGGTGAAAATTGTAAGAAGAGGTCATAACTACACCAAGAGTTGTTCAAGTTACAATGAGATGACAAGGCCTGTTGCACCTTGTAGTAATTGTGGTTATGTTCAAACTGTAATTGGTTCCTCTTCACGTAGCGGTACACAAAATATTTAATTTAACTTCGTTCTTCGTTCTGTATTCTAGTTATCTTTTTCTGTTTAAAATTTCCCCTTGTGCTTCTTGATAACATAAATACTTAATAACTATGCTTCAAAAAAAATAAAAATAAATTGAAAAATAAATGGATGTTTAACAAAATACAAGAATTTTTGTTATTTCAGTAACCAAATCAGCAGCAATCTTCGTATGTAATTGTTACTCCCTAAACGTTATTGCATGAACTCTAAGGTCTTTACACCCCTGCAACCACTTGTCTTTCCAAAAGTAGTGTATAGGTAGAAGGCTTGGTTCTTTTTAATTGTGGTATGTAGTTAGAAACTTGCTTCTTCACCAAGTTAGGAACCTGATGTTTCTTAAAATTAGACATCTCTTTCTGATTATTCTTTCTTTTATAAGCTGATAAATAAAATTAGTTGAAATGATAGCTTTCTATTTGCTTATCATCAGAAAAGGTTTGAAGGAAGCAATGGAGTCACATTTCTTGTTTACTCACCTCAGAACTAAACAGTAGCAAGTAAGCTTTAATACCACGCTTAGAGTAATGTAATACATTGTATTCAAATAATTACCTATTTCCTTTATCTAACTCATTCCTCTAATTAAAAGATGAGACTTTAGCAATTCTTTTTTTAAATGATAAACTTTCTCTTTTAGTTGCTAATTTTTTGTTTGATAGTGTCATTTTTAATTTGAAGAACAAAGATGGAGACAAGAAAATGGGACATGCAGTTGGTAGAAAAAATATATATTATAGAATTATATGAAGATATTGGTTTACTTTCCGAAGATATGATATTGGATTGATACTGATAGAAATTGTCGTGCTTATCTGAAAATCCCACTCGATTTGAAAGATTACTCAGGCTTCCAATGCACTTCATATTTTTTTTCTTCACAATTTTCAATGGGGAAAATCATGGAGCTAATTATGTATATGTTGTGTGAATGTGAGGGGATTTAGTTAATTTTCATCATATGCTTATGGGTTAGACATATAATTATACTATTATCCACATTAATGAGTGTCTCATATATCCAAATACAAACAAAATGATCACTTAATTTTTTTTTTTTGGATACATAAATTATCACTTAAATTAGTGGGCTTATATAATGCAATCCATATGAATAATGATGTAACCCTTTTTTTAATCAAGAAAAACTACCATTTGATTATAACTCACAAGAATTATTAGATCATTCTAACGATAATTTGATTTGTAAGATATTAGGTTCAACTAGCAAATATCCCATCCATTACATAAACAATTTTATATTTATATAGAATATGATAAATAAGAGAATAAGATAAGAAAAACATTTAAAATTATAAAACATATACATAATTAATTTAAAAGAAATTAAATTGAAAAATTAAAAAAGAGAATGAAAAAAGGACATGGATTATTTTTTATGGGAGAATATACTATGTTATTTAAATATTCTAAGAAAATACTCTAATTTAATATATAAGGATGAATTAGAATAATCCATATAATTTGAAACTAATTAGTTGTAGCTCGGTGATGGAAATTAAGAATCACACACACTTGTTAAAAACTTCAAAATAACACAAAGTTAAGCAACAAAGATAATCATGAGTCATATCCTTTACTCCCAATTATGTTAGGATCATACTACTTTTACACATTAAATGGTAGAAAATAACTTATTATTATGAACTAAGAACTTTAAAACGTGTCAATAAACTAACTTTTGAACATTACTGTGAAGATATGTTTCTCACATATCTTAGGATCAAGTTTCTCACATAATAAGCTAAGCTGCTATGTGATATTATTTTTGCATATTTTTTTTTTAAATAACAAACTAAAAAATATACATTTTAATACACTCTTTTATATATATATATATATATATATATATATATATATATATATATAAAGGATAAAGATGATATAACACTTTCAGTATATAAAATTATGAGTTTAATGTGTATTTTTTTAAAGGATATAAGTTGTGTTCTTTTAATTTTTTACTCTATGTACTTCAAGTAGTACATAGTTATAACATGATTTTTTTTTTCACTTTTCATGTGAGATGATGTAACTGAGGAGAAAAAAAAACTTTTTATATTATAACTATATATTACCGGAAGTACATAGAGTAAACAAATTAAAAGTACATCACTTATATTCTTTTAAGCACAAATAATTTTTCCATTACCCATTATAAAAATGGAAAATCATACTCTTATGTTGCATGAGATTGATCTCTCATGTTACTCTCACTTCGAAAAATATGCTTTTTTTTTTTTAAATTTGATGGGACCCACTTTATTTTGAGAGAACTTCTCGTATGCTACATAAAAAAAGTAATCCCCAATAAAAATATGATAAGTAGTGTAAGAGAAATGTGTGCCAACATCATTTTCTACTATACTATTGTCGACTCTTCAAAAAATACTTTACTAGTTGAGCATTTTGGTACTCTCTATCGTATAAAAGTAAAAATCAAATAATATTAGGATCACTGGATCACCCACTCCTATTATTTAACCTCTAATTCACACGCATATACATAATATATGCAATCTGTTGTTTTTTTTCTTTCTTTATTTAACGAGGATATTTTTACAGACATGAGTTTAAACCCTTGTTAAAGTGTTGCCTTCACTATTTGTGTGTGTTTCTCTCTATGTTACAGTCTCTCCGTGCTATGTGTCAAAATCGAGTTTTTATGTAAAAACGAAAAGGGATGATAAAATATAAATCATAAAAATGACATGAAATATAAAGTTTCTATTACTTATGATTAAGATATAAAATTATACATATAATATATATATAAAAATATCATATAAATTATTACTCAAAATTCAATGAACAACTTTATATTTAAAAGATATAAATCATATGTTTACCAAAAAAAAAAAATATAAATCATATAACTATATAAGACATAAATCCAAAAATATAAAAAAGAGTTTAACAACTCCTACAATCAAATTTCAAAACATTAAAAGAATAAAGTTTAATAACTTCTAAATTATATCAATTGATTCAAATCAAACAAATCATTTTGTATGTTCTCAATGTCCTTTTCTCTTACTCCTATATCAAGTTCATTTACAATAAAACGTAATAGATTGATTCAAAATTCACCCCAACTTGATACTCAAACTTTTCACCAGTGACTTCACCCTCTTGTTTCTCTGCAACAACAACCTCGCATTAGGTTTTTTTTTTTTTTTTTTTAAGATAGCTAGAAAAAGATACTATGCATTTTGATTTTGAGGAAATAGAAATAGATTTTTTTTAAAAAAAACTTGTGGCTTGAGTTAAAAAATTGACCGGATTCAGTTTTTTTTTTTTGGTATAAGACTGGTTAAGTTTTTTTGTTTAAGTAAAAACGTATAAACTTGCCATTTTACTCCTTTTACATGGAATTTTTATTAAGGAGAATTTTTACGCATCACTTCAGTAAATAAAAACATAAAAACTTTGACAACAATAATTACAGCTCAATAATATTAATTAAATGTTATATGGTCTAATAGTATATCTTCGGGAAATTAATTACTTTTTAAATCAAAAATAATATTTGGGTTTAATTGCCCCCAAGCAAAGGAGCGACTTGAAAATTGAAAGGGGAATCTCCACTTGCAATATGAAGAATCAAAAAGAAAACTCTCTCTTCTCGGAATGGCGGCACTTAATACAACAGATTCTTCAGGTTTCTAATTCTTCACAAGGTAGCTTGAAGGAAGATTTTAGTTCTTTGTTAAAGGAGCTTAAATCTAAACATATTTCAGGTTTCTAATTCGATATACAGCATTTTGCATTCATATGATGATATCATATTTATTGCTTCAAAAATTGGAAGACTTCACTGCTGTCAATTAGTCCACTGTTTGTTTAAGGGTTTGTTTGTCTTTTCAGAATAACTGCATTGACCACCAGGTTGGGTTATTTTCATTGGGATCCTTTGAAAATCACTCTGTGGTAACAGAAATGATGTTATGCTCAACATGCATTTCAAACGCTACATCTTATTAACTAGTAAGTTTTCACAAGGCTGCTCAGTGCTCATCTATTAATGTCGAAACTTGAAAGTAATGTGACTTAGATTCTGCTACTTATTATCTTAAGAGAATAATCTTTTAATGAATGTATATCTTATGTCAACCCCGATGATATGTATAAGCCTTAAATTTCTGATACAATGCATTATGGAGTTAGACGCTTATTTTGTGAAAAATTTATTTGGTTGGCATTTAAGCAAAATTTTATCTTGATTATTCTGTGCAAGTTTGAACATTTCTTTAAAACTCCTCTAGGTATTGGTGGAAACTGGAAGGCTTATAAGCTTTTTATAGAGTTATTTAAACGAATCAGCTCCAAATAACCGAAGTAGTAAGAGAAAAAAAAATTGCTAAGGAAGAAGTTATGGTTATTTTAATGAATATCATCACTGCCATGGATTTTTGCCTATTTATGGAATTGTGAGGTTTAATTGTCTTATTTCTTAGCTCAAGACATTCTTATGGAAGCCAATATTATTTTCCTTTATAGGTACATGTGGTTGAATTACTGAATGTGGTATTACTGGTATGGGTTGGAAATTTTTCTTACCACTTGCTACTGTGTGCTTGTGTCAATCCTTTCTTCCTTTATTAATATCCCCCCTCCCCCACAATATTCTGGTGTTGTTTGCCTTTCCTAGTAGTTATACTTTTTTTTCAGTCTTATCCTTGTTTCTTGTTTTCTGAAATCTGTATAATTGAATTTCATGTTTTCAGTGGCACCACTTCTGCTTGATGCATGACTTTATCGTTACCTGATTTTTAATCAAAGAGGAATGGATATCATCAATCAAAATAAGGAACAAATTTTTAGCAAATTTGGTAAGAATTATCCCCTTTATTGTTCAACCTTGTTGAGGCTGTAATTTCACTAGAAACTATTTCTAATCATTTTACTTCTGATTTCTATAGTTTAGTCAAATAATTTTATTTAGTTATCAGGATACTG